TTCGAATAGGGTTTATTTCGGAGTAGGGTTTATTTCTATCTTAGATATGTAGGGTTTACCATAATATATGTAGAATCATAACACAATTGGCTCAATTAGAATCATAACTCTTTAGTGTAAAGAAAAATTAGGGTTTGTAATCAAATTTTGGGGTATCGAAAATTAGGGTTTACCGTAATCTCTTTCTGCTCTTTTTCCTCCTTCTGCGCTACGCAATAGCGAAGAAGAAAGGATGTTTAGTAGAGCTAAACAAAAAAATCATAACTCTTTAGTGTAAAGAAAAATTAGGGTTTGTAATCAAATTTTGGGGTATCGAAAATTAGGGTTTACCGTAATCTCTTTCTGCTCTTTTTCTTCCTTCTGCGCTACGCAATAGCTTCTAAACGCGTTCCAAAATCTTATCGTTTTGCTTTGCTTTCAAATTAGGTTGCCAATTTGCAGAACAAATGTGTAGTGTGCGTACGATTGAGGAGCTGAAAAGCATGAAATAGTTAATTTCGGGTCGGGTCAAAAAAGGGGGAAAACTGAAATAGTTAATTTCGGGGCAGGTCAAAAAAGGGGGGAAATCGTTAAACGGCTGTGGGACGTAATTAGATTCTTTCGACAATAGGTTTCGAAGAATAGGGGTAATTTGGGAATCTCACATGCTAATTTTTTGTGCTTTTCAGTGAGGGTAGATAGAGGGTAGTCTCATAATATCAAACCTTTTTTGGACATTTTTATAAGAGAAACCTTTTTTTAGGGCACACTTATAAAGTGCCCGGAGTATTTGTCCAATTTTGACTTTTTCGATCAACAAATTTCAACTTTTGATCTATAATTAAATAAAATATATATTGTATATTAATTAGATAAAATAATATTTTGAAAATATTTGATATGATAAATCTAATAAAATTATTTTTGTATTAATATTTAATATCATTTTTATTTAATTTAAAGTCAAAGTTTACCAATTTTGACCGAAAAAAGTCTAAAGTGGACAAATACTCAGGGACAGAGTATTATTATTAACATTACTGTTATTATTTTGAATGTTATTGACTCGATCAATTTATATTATTTTCCACTAAATGACGCATAAAGAATCAATGTCACTGCCTCTCCTAGGACTCGAACCTAAGGAAACTTCTCCATGATGCTAGAACGTGGGCTTGTGACCACTCAAGCTAGGGAAGAAATTATTATTATTATTATCATCATCATCATCATCATCATCATCATCATCATCATCATCATCATTATTACTACCTGATAGGTGTAATCCACCCAAGACCGGTCAAAGGAAAGGACTAAATATTTGAGCGGTCAAGGTGATTATACTTGGAAGAGAGATCTTAATCGGCAGAGAGAGGAGACTCAATAAACTAAAAGTTTGACCGGTACACTTCAGATAGTATACCGGTTAAACTACAGAGATTCCAACACTCACAAGAAGATAATCACAACAGCAAACAGATGCAAGCGCAAACTACTATTGAAAGAAGTGTTGCACCTTTAGAATACGCAGGATGCTACAACACCTTTTTCAACAGTCATACACACAGGCAAAAAAATAAATACACCAAGACACAAAGATTTGTTTACGCAGTTCGGAGCAGTATCTCTTACATCTGCGAGGCCCACATCCGTGTAATAGCCTTTCCACTAGATCAACGTAAGAATTACACTATCAAACTTCAATAGAACCTTCTAATGAATCTGACTTATCTACTTACGAGATCTCACAGCAAACTCTGTTTGTGTCTTGACCAGGCCTATTCCACCTTCTTCTTGCTCTGCACGAAGGATGTGTTTCTGACCCTTGCTCAGCCAACCAGGTTGCAACAGCTGAACAAAATCTAGAGAAGATCCATGACCGATCTTCTCATGCAAACCTCTCATAGTTTTGTTTTGATCAGAATCGTTGTGATCTCACGCTCTCTCCTTTGATATTCTGAGTATAATTCTGCGTTCAATTGTTTCCTCCACAGCTGTCTCCCTTTATAGGATGCTCATAACCCTAGTTGAGATGGTATGGAACTCTTACGATGATGAGCTTGAGTACCAGACAGTCCTAGCACGCCATGACTCCTTCTCGTAGATGCATCTGATATTAAGCACGTGATCAGGAGATAATCAACTGATGCATATCTTCTTGAGCCTGGACACCTCACAAACTCCTTTTGATATATAGGTCTCCATATATTCAGAGTCCATATCGTATAGAAACTCTATACCATGACTGATAGGATGCTACAACTCTTATCTAAACACAGACGCACTTCCATTTCTATAGAAGGGTTTTGTCAAAAAATAATGCCAACATAAACTATAACAACAAACACTTAGTCGGAGCTAACAATCTCCCCCTTTGGCAATTTTTTGACAAAAACCACTATTCAGCCGTGTTGAACCTCTTCTCCCCCTTTTTTGCATAAAAAATGCCAAAGATATTCTATTGAAAAACACCAAGCTTGGGGGCAAAAAGAGAAGAATAATATTCAATACGGTCAAGAATAGGTACTTTAAGAGTATAGGAAAGAAAACTCTAAAGAGCTGTACTTACATCAGTCACCCCAGAAAGAGCCAAGTACCCATGAGAGAGGGTAGGCTCTTGTGCTGTCGTTGCTTCATAATGCATATAGGTAAAATCAGAATCAAAATAAGCCATAACCAGAGCTTCATAGAGAACATAGAGAATAAAGCCATCTCTCCACAGGGCACAGATATGTTTAAAAAAAACCATGCAATGTCTGCAGCATCATAAAAACAGAGCAGAACAACACTTCCACAAAAAAATGTTTTAGACCAACAGTTTTATCAGTGAGGCAAAGTTTACTCCTCTGAACTGGCACCTTCTGATGATTCTAGAGAGGCCCCTGCTGATTCTGATGAAGATATCTCTTCTGCACTGTCTTCTTGGGCATCTTCATCTGTGCATGAGTGTGCAGTAACTGCCTTTTGTTTAGCCAGTCTCTCCCCCTTACTCTGTGCACTCTTTGTTTGCCTCAGGTTATGTGCAATCACGCATGTAGGCAAGAAGAGCATGGAGCCTGACCCGGATAATTGGGAGATCGGGGCAGCGGATCGACGATAGTGGGGACCCTATTTATTATCTATTTCATAATAAAAACGTTTTGGGCTTTAACCCACCACTGTCGCACTTCCTTATTTGAGACTTAACGTTTATTATTTTCATTTACTACCGCTACGAGACATTTTTCCCTAAGTGAATTTATTTCCATTTAATAAAGCATATTTAGAGTTTTCGATTACAAGAGCAATGTAAGGGTTTTTCTTATAGATGGTCCTAGAAACCGTCTACGTAACCTCTCTAGCTCGTTTGGCCGCAGGGAACCAGGTTCGCGGGACGAAGGGCATTACATATATACTCTAGTATCCATATGTTTATATTGTATCTTTGAGAGAGTATAATCTCCTTCTACACCGGCTAAGTTTTGTTCTTCATTTTTATATTCAAGCCGTTGTGTAGAACCCTTGTTTGTGTTCTTCAAACACATCTTTATATGGTCGAGAATAGCCGTTAAATTCTCACGTTGTAACGGCCGAGGATAGCTATATAAATCTTGGGTAGAAAGTTGAAGGATAGCCTTGTAAATCCTTGGGGGGACGGTCGAAGATAGCCGTGAAATCTTCATTGTAAACGGTTCGAGATAGCCGTTGTAAAATCTCGGAGTGAATCTTATTGGCAAGGGTTGTTTGCCAAACTAGTGCGGTGCTTTGACGGAGTTCAAGAGACCAGGACTTAGTGGATTTGTAAATCCTTAAGGAGGAACCTTAAGGTACTGGAGTAGGGGTTTCCCGAACCAGTATAAAATTGGTGTGTCTTTTACTTTACGCTTTTATTTCTGTGTTTTATTTATTGCTTCCGCATTTGCCAACACCGTTTTTATTAAACTCCGAAAAGATTTTAAACGCCTTATTCACCCCCCTCTAAGGCGTGGGCACAATGACTAACACACTGGTCTTGCTCAGTATAATAAAATATTAAATATGCGACATAAGCTCAGCCTCGCACGCTGGTAAAAATCGTTCTTGTTCAAATGAAGGCCAAGAATGATATACACACCGGTCTTGCACATATTTTCTCGTAAGTCTGAATCCAATCGAATTGGGTACACCAGTGTCTCAGCTAGGCTTTGGTCGGGGATGCCTGATTCTTCAAGCCTTTTAAATAAGGCACTCCGAAGGTGGTCTCTGCATGACATGAAGATGTTTGCATCAGTTAGCCGAGCTAACATCGATCTTCGACAAAGCTGCTGCATCATGTTTGATTCGTATTAAGTAATATCGATCTCTTCGATTTACTAGTTTCCTTACACATTGGTTATTTGATTCATACTAACAACGGTCTTGATGAAATAACTACTTGAAGCACCACTGCTTCATCGCACTAACTCCGGTATTGTAAAACATTCCAAGCATCGTTGCTTTATCGAATTGACATCACTCTCGTTACGATAGTTATTCGCGTGTATTTTAATCACTCTAACACCGAGCTTCTTAGTAACGATAATAATTATTTGAGCACGGCGTAGGTTGGTCGAAAAAAATGTTGTACGTATTATTTTTTACAGTAAAAACATCTAATTCAAGAAATTAGAGAATTAATGAAGACTCGGAGGACTAGAAATATCAACTGGTCAAGAATGCAAAATACGAAGATTGAAGATAGTACTCGGAAGAAGACTTGTTTACTTTCTTAAGTTGATGATTCTCACAACTTAAAAAAGTGGAGTACTTCTTGATGTGATGTAATACGTGGCTCGGTCCACATTTTCTAATTATTTACAAAGAATAATCAAACCGGGTCTGTTTAATAAAATAGAGGAATAAGAGAATATTACTCCGAAGTTGCTCCCCCTCCTTCCTATAAAAGAAGGGGTTACCCTCAATATTAGGGGGCTCTCTTCTCTCACCACTATCCCTCTCAAATATTCTCTCTCTAGAATTCTTATATTTTTGTTCTTCAATAAGCTTTTAAGCTTCGATTAATGGCTTCCAAGCCCAAATCATGTACCGTGTACAACCTCCGATATTAATAAAAATCTCCCGTTGGCAAGGTACCACCAAAAAAGGCTTGTGGTTTTCTCCCGATTAAGGTTTCCATGTCAAAATCCTTGTTTTTATAGTTTAGTATATTTTTTAGACTAGTTTATCGTTTTTGCCCGCCTAAAAATGATATATATCGGTCGGTAATTTACACCATCAATACCCAAGTGTATGGTATCATAGAAAGACCATAGACAATTACTACCTTTGTCCCAGTGTATTTGTCCCAGTGTACTGCCNGGGTTAGGAGGGTAGGAACCGTCGTTTTTACAAACGGAGCACCATAGGTACCTCAAACAAACTGGTGTAAGTAAATGACACCAGTGGCACTAGTGTCATTTTAGACTTACCGATATATATATATATATATATATATATATATATATATATATATATATATATATATATATATATATATATATATATATATATATATATATCTTGAGATACACTAGACTCGAACCCGTGCGTTGCACGGGTTTAAAAAACTTACAATAATTAGGGAAATTATTAATGTTGGAATTCGATAGGATTCAATTAAAATACGAATATAACAGGAAATATTAAAGGGGATGAAGTATACAATAATACAAATTGTGGAAGCATTACATTATACGTTTTGGAAAACTTCTTTATAAACTACATTGGTAGTTTGATTCATCTTGCTTTGGTCATCATTGCATATCAAGATCTTTAGACCCATGCGATTTGTGACACGTGAAAGCGCTACGTAAAGCTGACCGTGGCTGAATACCGGCTTCTTCAGTAAAAGGCCAACTTGAGACAACGATTGCCCTTGACTTTTATTAATTGTCATGGCATATGAAATCATAATTGGGAACTGTTTCCTTTGAAACTTAAAAGGAATTCTCGTATCTGACGGGGTAAGCAACAATCGGGGGATAACGACTTCTTGGCCAATATTTTTCCCCGTAAGCACAGTAGCTTGAATAAGATGATTACCAAGTCGGGTAACAATCAACCTTGTCCCATTGCAAAAACTCGAAGATGGATCAATATTCCTCAACAACATGATTGGTGTTCCGATCTTTAACTTCAACTCATGGTTTGGTACACGAGATGCTCATATGTTATTCAGAAATTCGGGGGAATGCATGTCCGATAGAAAGTCTACGTTTAAATCTGATTTACAAACTGCATCTGAACTCAAGTAAATTTTAGTTTCTCTGACGCTATTCAATTCCGTCATGTATTCGTTAATTTCATCCACGACTTCTAGTGTTGGTGCGAGGATTGCTCGACTCTGCAAATACGTTGGATCATTTGCAATATTGTGGAAGTCTGGATACGTTGAATTTACTATAGATGCAATTGGATCATCTATAGTTTTTAACAACATGTCTTCTGGGATAATGACCTCAGCAACTCCATCATTCTCTTGCCCTGCAAGACCATCGCCAATACTCGCAACCCACTCTGCAAATTCTCTCATGCTTTCTAAATTGTCATCGCGAGACATGTGCTGTAAACGCATGTTAGTTGTCAATCGTAAAACAGTGCAATAATTCCACAAATAAGAAGAGTTAATCGTTGCATTGACGATGTCTTGCCTTCTTCCCTTGGGTATGACGGGTAGAATTTGTCGAAAATCTCCCCCAAACACAACTGTCTTACCTCCAAAGGGAAGATTGGAATTAGATTGGCAAACTGCACTCATTATGTCATGTAGAGTTCGGTCCACAGCTTCGAAACAGTATTTGTGGGTCATTGGTGCTTCAACCCAAATTATAAGCTTGCTCATAACCAATAAATCTGCAAGTGGTGTCTTCTGTTTAATGTTACATGTGGAATTTTCATGTGGGAATTTTCATGGTGTCTTCTCCCTGGCAACAAAAGTGAGGCAATACCACTCGAAGCAACGTTTAACACAATATCCCCTCTTGAGCGTATAGAAACCGATAAAGTTTTCCACACAAAAGTCTTTCCAGTCCCCCCATACCCATAAACGAAAAAATCTTGCCCTCGCCCGAATCGACAGAAGCCATAATTGCTTCATAAGCGCGACGCTGTTCGTCATTCAATTGTCCCATCATCTTATGATGTTCTTCTTTCAATGCATGTCGATCATATTGTAATTCGTCAAGAATTAGCCTGTTGCGAGTTGTTGATGCTACATCTAGAATTGGAAATGGCATGTCAACGAAATCTCGTAGACTCTTAGCTCGCATCCTAAGTAACATCTCTATCTCAATCAAGGCGTAATTTTTGATTTGATCTTTAGTTAAAATTAAACTTGTGCATATAATAAGTATTGTTAGTTAAAGGGAATTTAATTAAAAATACTAATGTTTTGTAGTTGCACAATACCTTGATGACCTAGAAGACATCTTTGACGATGTAGAATATCATCAGCCATGAATTCCCAACATTGTTCCCAAATATGTTTAGGCCTAGACATGGATTCGTTTGTAAGTAGTGTAATGAATAAGAATCTCAGCTGTTTGGCTGAACACCAAGAACTTGCTTCCTTAAAAGCATCGATGTACTCCCGGTTATCGTCTAGTAAACTTAAGGCATAACAGGCATCACGATAGGTGTCGTGAATAACACCATTGACAGTTCTTAAATCTTTGTATGAAGTTGGACCTCGAATGATGTTTAGAAGAATTCTCATATAATAAGACTCACCAGAGCCCGGTGGGACGTACACAACACGTCCAATAGCAAACCCTCTTTGTGGGGGGTACATACTCTCGATTTGCTTGTTTCCAAACAAATTTTTGCGGGAACTCGGCATACGTGAACGTATTTGCAAGTGGATATTTCTCATTTGCTTTCATCCAAGCAAGAAATTTACTCTCTCGAATGCTCTCTCGAGTATAAACATCACCTGCATCATCGTCATCTTCAAAGAAAATCCACTGCTCACCAGGAAGGGGAAAGCTTAAACGCTCAACATTAGGACTTTTATATTGAATTCCAAATCCAAAGATTCGCCATGTTGCCTCACAAGGAGAGATATATCTGCAGTCATAATAAAGTTTAATCTCATTTGGAGTTTTTGTTGGCTCTTTATCCCTACTTTCTGCGCTGGCATAAAATCCTGCCGTGGCACGGTCCTGGCCTTTGTTTATATACT